CAGCAACTACATGAGAAAACCTGGGCCAGAACTAAGTAGACAGAGGCACTTAAGTTGAAAGTGACAAAACTGGAATAGGAGTTTAGGAAGTCTGATTCTAGAGTCTGTATTTTAAACTATTATTTTTAATGTGTCTTTGACACATATATCAATTATTACTTGTCTAAACAAGTGTTTTCCCTTTCAATGTTGACAGAATATTTCTAGGAATATCCCCATTGGGGGACAAAGGTTTAAATGTGTAAATAAAGCATTATTGATACTGTCCTGTGGTTTTACCTGAAAAAAAAAATACACCTGTCTTTCAAAGATATTTTTAATTAGTTAGACTCAAAGCATGCCAATAATTATGAAAAATACAATTTAAAAACATTATAAATATTTAGAAATTAGTTTCCATGTTGCTGATGGCTGAAGTGCATACTGATTTCTTTCCCAGTTCAGATTTTGTAATTATCTACTTCTTTACTTGTGTATTGGCTGTTTCTTTCCATAGACCTATGACTATGGTTTACCATATGGTAAGTGTTCAATAAGCTTTTGAATAAATTAAGTGATAAATAACTATGTGAGAGAATGGCAGATGGCTTCATAAGATGAACTACATCTTGTATTTTACACTTTTTTTTTTTTCTGGTGCTAGGATAGAACTTAGGGTTTGGTTGCTAGACAAGAGTTCTATCACTGAGCTATAGCTCCAGACTTGCGGAACTATATATATATTTTTTCAATTTTCCACAAAATTTTCACTGACCTGAGGAACTAGGTCTTGAAGGAAAAGAATAACATCTTCTGAGTGCTTACTATCTGATAAGCACTGTTCTAAGTACTTTTTGTATATTGAGTCATGTAAGATATAGATTATTTATTGTCTCAATAGGATAGAATTTCTAGAGGTCAAGGAACATCTATTATTCTTGTTATTTTAGGGCCTAGATCAGGGGTTTGCATATCATAGGTAATCAGTAAATATTTACTGAATAAATACACAAATATCACCTGATTTGACTCCCCTAGCAACTTTTAAATGCAGGTACTATTATTATCCCCATTTTTCAAACAGGAAGCTGAGACCCAAAGAGAATAAGATTCCCAAAGTCACAGAGCTAGTCAGCCTGATTCCAGACTTCATACTTGTTATGAATTCAACTATCCTCCAGAAGGTTGTGTTGAAGTCCTAATTCCTGCTACCTGTAGATTTGACACAAATATAATACTCTTACAGTGTTTACCCAGAGTGAAAAAGAAGTAATTCCAAAAAAGGAACTGAAAAATCCTTAAATAATGGTAGCAGTGTTAGAAATTTGTGCAAAATTCTTCAACCAATTTGGCCTATTTTAAAGTATAATACTTATTTGGACATCTGCTCCAGAAGTTTTGTTTAAAATGTAGTCTTACTTATTTATAGTTTTAATGTATGTATCATGTTGTCAAATGGGACTTTGTGAAAAAAAAAATATTTTTTTGTAGTGGAGATTGAACCAAGGGTACTTTACAACTGAGCTACATCTCCCAGCACATTTTATTTTGAGACGGATCTCACTAAGTTGCTTGCCCTTTCCCATCCTTCCACCCTGCCTCTCCATCTCCTCATTCTACATTACTGATCTTCCCTTTATCTTTATGATATCCTATTCTTCCCTCCCCCTTTCCTTTATTTTACTGTAGCTTCTGCATATGAGAGAAAACATTTGACCTTTGAGTTTCTGAGTTTGGCTTATTTCACTTAGCATGATATTTTCAATTTCCATCCATTTACCAGCAAATATCATGATTTCATTCTTATTTATGGCTTAGTACTCCATTGTGTATATATACTATAATTTTTAATTGATTTATCTATTGATGAGCACCTGAGTTAATACCATAATTTAGCTATTGTGAATTGTGCTGCTATAAACATTGAGGTGGCTATATTGCTGTAGTTTGCCAATGAAAAATCTGTTTTTTGATAAATTCTCAACAGTGCAACAAAAAATAATAGGTTCTAGTTCTGTATTTTGTGAAGTATACCCATTCTTTTTTCCCACAGTGCTAGGTATTAAATTTAGGGCAACAGGCATGATCACTAAGCACTTTACCACAGAGATACATCTCCAGCATGGATACCCACTTATCTATCTATCTGTTTGTTTATTTTTGTGGTACTAAGAATTGAAACTAGGGCCTTCATCATGGCAGGCAACTGTTCTGCCACTAAGCTATACTCCAGCCCTTTTTAAAATTTCATTTTCAGACAGGGTCTCACTAAATTGCCCAAGTTGGCCTGGCCTTGAACTTGCAGTCCTCCTACCTCAGCCTCCTTAGTAGCTGAGATTACAAGTGTTTGTCATCTTCAGGTTCCAGTTTTTTGTTTTTTTTTTTGATACTGGAGATTGAATCCAGAGGCACTCTACCACTGAACTACATACTCAATCCTTTCTACTATTTTGATACAGAGTTTTGCTAAGTTGCTTAGGGCCTTGCTAGATTGTTGAAGCTGACCTTGGACTTGCAATCCTCCTGCCTTAGCCTCCCCAGTTGCTACGATTACAGGCATTTGCCAACATGACCAGCTCTAGCACTTAATATTGCCAGTTATGTACAAAATAACTGCACAATCAGTTTCTTACAAGGCAAATGAAAGAAAAAGAGTATTTTTCTGTGTACAACTTGTTTCCTATGTATTTTTGAGGACAAAACCTAATCTCACAAAAGATTGAAAAATTTGGTATTCTAGTTAATATTTATGTGAGAAAACAGGTTCTTCCCAGTATTTGAAACACATATGCATGTACAAAATGGCTCCTTTAGCTTATCCCTCAAGATGACTGGAGATCTGTTAAGAAGAAAAGTAAACACACAAGTGAAAAATGTGAACTTTATCTGTACTAGCAGGTTTTTGTAATCTCTTTGTAATACTGGCCTGGAGAAAAGGACCATATATTCTTCGTGGATTACCATATAAATCAGCTGTAGATATTGAAACCCAGAAACAGAAGACAGGTGATATATCTAAATTTATTTAATAAGAACTTCATTATAATAAGGTTCTATTGTACTAACATTTTTGTTTCTCCTTAAACATCTTGAGTCTGGCTTCCAGGCCTACTGTTAATCTGTTTTCGTCTCACACAAAGCACTTTTAATTGCAGTGTGCCTCAGTTAATTATGAGAGTGAGTTTTGTAAAGCATACCTTCTTGTCAGATGATGCAGGGTTAATTATTTATGGATTATAGAATTCACAATGAAAGGTGTCATTTAAATTGAAGGAATGTTTTTAAAGAACTTTGTGATGCCCATAAAATGTTCTCTATGAAAACAACTGATTCTAGAAGGTTCAAAAACTAAGCCAAGAAAGCTGTTTAATGTTAGTATAGCCAAAACCCAATTATTGTACAAATTTTTCTTATAAGGTAAAGAAACATAATTGAGAACAAAAAAGGACACTGGGATTGGAAGTGTGTCTAGTTTACCGAAATACAAAACCAACAAATAATCCCCGAAACTATCTTTTGTAATATCAGTAGGTAGAGATGAAATGTGCAGAAGCTAATCATCCTATCCACTGAAAAGAAAATCAGAAAGCTTTAGTGTTTGCTGTTATTATACAGTGTTGTTGTTGGTGATGGTCAGACAAACTCTCCTTTTATGCTGACTTGGACCTGACTACTCTTCCAGTCTTTGAACCTTCAAGTATAAATATCAATAATACAGTAACAAGATTTTAGCGCTGGAAGATCATATATCCTGATGTCCTTGTTTTATCAAAGACACTAAAGCACTAAAAGATCGAGTTCCCCATGGTTATTCAGAGAGCAGTGGTTCTTGAACATCCTGGCTTCTAGAACTCGCAGGGAAATTATGCACAAGACAAATGACTATTCATTGGACCTTTGCACCCTAACACTTTTCCTATCTTTTAAAAGCAAATAAAATTCCCATTGGATACTTTACAGAAACTGACACGGTGTCGGCTCATGCTCTCCTGTTCTCCCTTTCTCCCAGTTCCACGCAGGTTAGGCTTTCTAGGTCAAGGTTGATTCCCTCCTGCCTCAGGCCCTTGGGCATGGCTGGTGTCCAGGATGGTCCTGCAGAGCAAGCTTCCCAAAGACTAGAGAGGAACACAAAGGCAGACGGTCTCTCAGGTCTTGGTTAGTAGTCCTGTGCCTCTCCCATCTTCCAATGTGGATGGGGCTTGGCGGGCTGCCCCACCGGGGTCGCAGGGGAGCCCTGGAAAGGGGGGGAGGGGATCAGCACTGGGGACGTCCCACAGACGCGGGCCACAGGGTGGCTGGGAGCCCCTGGTGAGAGTCCTTGGGGTTTGCCCGGCCCGCGGCTACCTGCTCCCAAGTCCCTGCCGCACCGCCAGCGCCCAGCTCTTCCTCCTTCTTCTCCTCCTCCTCCTCGCACGTCCGCTGGGCTGATCTCCTGCCATGACTCAGCGCTTCTCACAGGCCGCCCGGCCGGGCACACGGCTTCGTGCGGGCTCCTCCCGCCGCGTCCACCCCCTCTCGCCACCCACGCCCGCCCCCGGCCGCGAGGCCTTTCCCCGCGCGGCCGCCACCGTAACCGCCGCATTCCGCGCCGGCGCCTCAGCAGCACTCGCCGCCTGCACCGCGCTCCGGCCAGACCCCACTGCCCAGCCCCGCGCCAGCCATGGAGCCCACGGCCCCCCGCCGCCGCCACACCCACCAGCGCGGCTACCTGCTGACGCGAAACCCCCACCTCAACAAGGTAAGCCTGCAGCGCCGGGTCGCTTGGGTGGTCCCGCAGCAGGGCCTCGCCCTCAGAAGGCTCCTCGGGAAGACGCCGGTGGACGGCGGGGCGGTGGGCCTGGGTGCAGGCTCCGCGGACGGGAACGCCCCGCCAGGTCGAGCCGCAGGGTGTGGTGGCTGGGCGGTCCTCCGCATCCCGTCCCGGGAACCGGGGAAAACGTGTAACTTGCAACTTTCTGGCTGTTCTTCTTAAGCCCTATCCCAACCTATGGAGGTGCGAGTTGGGTGTTACCAAGAAGGTGGCAGGCGGACAGCCAGGTCAGCCACGGTGTGCCCCCCACCTCTACGGGTTCCACTCTGTGTGGCAATCCTTGGAGGCTACTGCGGATCCAGGCTGGTCTGGCCTGGATCGAAATGGGATCTGAGTGCCTTGGATCACATTAAGCATCTAGATTCCAAGGCCTCTCCGTTTCTGGAGCGACATGGTTCTGAGTCTGGGAATGCCTGATGGGTGGCTTCTGCTTTGGAACCTTGGCAGGGCATGGCTTGATTGAAAAGCCCTTCCTAGCAGGGGGCTTGGTTGAAGCCATTCCTTTTTAAAAATTTTCTTTCTTTTAAAATTTCTTCTTCTTTATTTTATTTTATTTTTTCCAAATCAAGCCTTTTGGGAGTTTGTTTATTTATTTATTTAAAATAAGACTTTGTCATGCTCTATTCAGAGTCTTCAAATCCTGTTAACATTTCCTTTTTCTTCACTGGTAATGTAGTATAAACACCAAAGATAACTCTTAAATGAAAGTAACTCAGACTTGATCATTTCCATATTCAGCAGTCACATTGTTATTTGATAGCCAGGTTTGTCTGGATTTTTCCTTTTGTATTTGTATGTGTGTAGTTCTGACATTTCCTATTTATTCAGTACATTGAAAATACCATGGGTCAGCACTGGAGGTCTGTGTAATTATTTTGGTTGTCTCTTTGTAGAATACCCTTCTTCCTTAAGAATTGGACCTCAGCTTTAACCCCCAGTCATGTTGCTGGCAATTTGTTGATCACTACTATGTCTTAAAGACTTGTGATTTATTTAATAAATTATAGTGAGTTTTTTTTTTTATTTTTGTGGTATCAGGCAATTTTTTCAAATCTATGATTGTTTAGTATTTATGTTCATATAGTATGAAATTTAAAATGATTTCTGCTTATTTTTTCTTCAAAACAAACTTTCCAGTTTGATTCTTTTTCCCTTTTTTATTATTCTGCAGGTTGGGGCCTATTTTCAGTAGAACAAAGGTAAAATTTGATGTGACAAAACAATTTATGCCTTTCATGTGTTACCTACCTGCCTGTTGAAATTTATGACCAAATTATGGGTTGACACTTAACAAGACCACATTAAGTAACATAACCTGTTTTATTTTCTTGAAGTCCTGCGTGAGAGTGTCTGTTAAGACTAGGTGAAATAAGCAATCCCAAGCAAGAGTAATTATGCCTTTACTATGTTTTTGTTAGGAATTTATGATATTAAAACCATTTGACTCCTGTTTTCCTGTAATAGTACTTACTTCAGAATTGTATTATCACAAAGAACTCCCACAAAAGGTAAAAAGGTGCAGCATTAATATATTAAGAACACATTTTGGGGGAGGGAAAGGGGAAATACTGGGGAATGACATTGCTAAATTATATTGTTATATTGTGTGCATATATGAATATGTAACGACATATCCCACCATTATGTACAACAATAATGCATGAATAAAAAAAATGGGAAAAAATAAAAATATGAAGAGAGGAAGTCATAGTGTACAAAAACAATAAAATCAGTAAATCAAGTTTTCCAAAAGATTATATGGTTTATAACAGTCATATAAATGTCAGAAATAAACATTGTTTTGAGGATTACAAGTAAAATGCTTTCATCAGTATCTGGCAGACAGTTGGCTCTTATCATTTCAAAGAAATATATTAATAATCTAAAAAAAGGACACATTTTTAAAATTTATAGTGGAAGTTTTGCTATCTGTGTTATGTCAAGTTGGACTCAAAATCTAGTTCACCAGCTTTGGGGCAATTAATATAACAACATTTATACTTTTCATTCAGTCCCAAGACATTGATGTGGTGCCTTATGGAAGTAATGGTATTTCCTTACATGTATCATTGAAACCAGAGAAATGGCACCTTCTTGATTTTTCCATACACTCAAGACGCCTTCAAGTTTGTTAGTAGTCCAGAAACTATTTTTTTCCCCTGTTTTTTGGTGCTGATTTTTTTCAAAGAGACACTATTCCTAAGCATTGTAACTTTCCTCTAACAGTCCAGCCTGGTACTTAGATATGGAAAGGCTTCTTCAACCAAACCAACACAGATCTGCATCACTGTACATTGGTAACAGTGATTTTTCTGGTTTTATTTCCATTATCATGGTCTGCCCATATAGGTATGGAAGAATTATGAACATTAGTTAGCATTTTTTTCACATTTTCCTTCTGTTATCCAAGTAGTCCTAATATGTTATTATGTCCTATTATGTTGAATGTAAAGTCAGTCTATCAATTAGTTTTACTGTCTTCTCCAAATTAATCTCATTAATTTCCCAACATAGCCTTCTATTTAAAATATATTTGCTGATTCTCTCAATTCTTTCCTTTTTATGTGTAATTCCTATAATTAAAATGTCATTAGTTAATTGATAATGATTTCTTTTAAGAAACCTTTCCTAATCATTTTAGTCCTATTGTGATGTAACACTTTTGTACTAAATAATTTTGTATTTATTGAATTCTTATTTTTTTCTTGTTCATTTATTTTGATTGTCACAGAGCAAGGATTATAATATTTAGTAGAATATTATGTTCAGTGGACATTAAATAAATACTTAAGAAATGAATGAGCCATGTTTTTATTTCTTTTTGTCTTTAAACACTACTTAGCTTTTAAAGCAGGTGGCTTTTGAAGGGGTGGTTTGCATATTATCCTAAGATGTCCTTGTTAATATAATTTTTTAATCCAATCTGCTAGTCTGTGTCTTTTGATTGGTGAGTTTAGGCCATTAACATTCAGGGTTATTATGGAGACATGATTTGTATTCACAGCCATTTTTGTTTATTTTTGGAACTTGGCTTGGTTTCTCCTCTGAGTAGTTTTTCCTTTTAGTGTAATACCTCCCTCTGCTGATTTTCATCTTTGTTTTTCATTTCCTCTTCATGGAATATTTTACCGAGGATGTTCTGTAGTGCAGGTTTTCGAGTTGTAAATTCTTTTGTTTATCATGGAAGATTTTTTATTTCATCATCAAATCTAAAGCTTAATTTTGCTGTTATCAGATTCTTGGTTGGCATCCATGTTTTTTCAGAGCTCGGTATATGTTGTTCCATGATCTCCTGGTTTTGAGTGTCTGGGTTGAAAAACTTGCTGAGATTCGAATTGGTCTATCCCTATATGTGATCTTATTCCTCTCTCTTGTGGCTTTTAAGATTCTATCCTTATTCTGTATGCTAGGCGTTTTCATTATAAAGTGTCTTGGTGTAGATCTGTTGTAATTTTGTACATTTGGTATCCTGTAAGTCTCTTGTATTTGGTTTTCCAGTTCATTCTTCATGCTTGATATTATTCTGATATTATCTCATTGAGGAGATTGTGCATTCCTTTGGTTTGAAACTCTGTGCCTTCCTCTATCCTAATAACTCTTATATTTGGTCTTTTGATGCTGTCCCATAATTCTTGGATATCCTGTTCATGGTTTCTTACTATATTCACTGTGTGGTCAACTTTATTTTCCAGATTGTATACTTTGTCTTCATTATCTGACTTTCTTTCTTCCAAGTGATCTAGTCTGTTGGTTACACTTTCTATTGTGTTTTTTATTTGGTTTATTATTTTCTTCATCTCAGTGATTTCTGACTTTTTTTTTTTAAGAGTCTCTGGCTCTGTCTTGAAGTTATTTTTGACTACCTGTATTTGTTCTCTTATCTATTTGTTGGAGTGATCAATTTTTGCCTGTATTTGCTCATTCTTTAATTCACAGATCTTTTTTTTTTTTAAAGAGAG